TGTGGCGTTGAGACGAACAAATGAGCAATGCTACAACGATAAAAAAGAAAAGTTGCAGTATACCAGACCATGACACTGTAACCAATTTCCTTGTTACAGTATCATGGATCTGGTATACTGCAACCATTTCTATTGTGATTGCTGTTTCTATTGTGATTGCTGTTTCTATTGTGATTGCTGTTTCTATTGTGTGTACTGTGGTTCTCCGCTATCGTGGCTAGGGCGCTACGTAAACATTTTTGCCAACTTTTCGATACTTCGTTATACATTTCAGGGTCGCAGGGGGGTGTCAAAACCACTGCCACCTCAACACAACCCCCAGTAGCTTACGACTAACATTTTTAGAATGAACGAAAGACTAAAAAAATCGAAATGCTGTCACTTTACATCAAGGTAGTTGCCACCAGAACGACTCGGTGGCGCGGGTGGCACAATGAAATCTCCCTTCCACAGTTGCCCACCTCACAGCAAGAATACAGCTGCTTACACGAGAGGAAGGGCAGAGGTCAAAAAACAAATTCAGATTCTTCTGTTTATTAACTTTTTACTTTTATTGCTCTTTACTCGTGCTTTTTTCTTCCTTTCTTTTTCCGCTACAGCCAACACATTTCATATCCTTTGACAAACACGCTGCTGCATGTTTCGACAATGCCATCGGCGTACTGAGCGCGTACTATTGTGTCGTTTCATTTCTCGATAGTTGACCAGTTGCACTGAAAAGCTCGTGGCAAGCCATGGTGACGTGACGCGTGCTCCATCCACCAGTATGTAATTTCGATATGACCGAACAACCCTGGCGTTGGGGCAAAGGTGTTTCAACCTAGCGCCCCGAGCCAAGCATGCGGGGCTCGAAGCCGTGGTGATCCCGGTCTTATCTTCTTGTGGTTGGCTAGAACGGGGCGGGCTAAGCCTGATAAATAAAATCTAAGGAGTGTCATAAATAGTTTTCAAAATCGCGAATAACAGTGATGCGGGGCGGATGCCGTGCTCTTGTAGACCCGGCTCTCTTGTAAAGGGTAACTAAGACTTGTACTAATGGTTTTGTTGAACCGGCGTCAATTCAAATCATACAAAAAGATCAAGAAGAAGAGTAACAACGCATCTTCTAGCAGTGGAACTATAAAGCAATCTGGGTCTCCTTGTTTTGCTTCTGGACGTAGCTTCACAATGCGCTCATTCCGTTGAGCTCTTGTTAGATGCGCTTTCGCTAGTTGGGGTAGAGGAAGAGATTCCAGACCTCAAGAAAACGTGCGCAGATTATACTTCCCTCCCATACGTTAGATACAGTTTGAACAGTTAGTTTGGCGAAAATACATTAAATAAAATTAAACGAAACATTAACTGACCCGATTTCACATTCCCGTAACACATAAATACTCTCTTCCAAAAGGACAACACGCCTACAAACAGCTCCTTTGATCCTTTTTAGGCGAGTTTACTACAAGGCTTCAATGAGATGACGTTCACGCGGGTGTGCAACACCAGAGACTGATCTGGACTAGCGCCTCGCGGAAAATGCTTGGAATTCCATTCGCCGGGGAGACATTTGACAGTATCCACTATCGTTACCATATGTGGCATATACACAACTCTGTAAATAGTACTGCTGGTCTGTACTGCTTCTAGAGGGGTACACACTGTAATGTAATAATCGTGAGCGGCACATATTTAACCCAGGCATGCATATACCTCCGTTCAAACAACACACAATATATTTTGTTTCTCTAATTCCTGCTTCGAGGGTGAACACGAGGGTCTGTGGTCGTAACCTCGCGGGTACGTTGACTGTTAACAAGTAAACCTTCTGCTTCTCGTTTTGTTCTCAGTGCGGGTCAACGGTTGACAGTATGTGCGCGTAACCTACACCGTGAGTACATCTAATTAAACTGTAAAGATTTATTTTCTTTCGGGGGTACACCCAGACGAATAAAAATATTATGGGCACATCCGGGGCACGTTTATACACGCGAGGTGCAAGACCGGGCGCGTGGAACTGTCACATATCTTGATCGTGTACGACCCTTTACAGGTCTTTCAACACAGGTGGTGGGTGAAGTGTTGTCTGTCAAAAGTCACTACGTTAACGCTGCCAATGCAATACAGAAGCTCAAAGTTTAGTGGGGCACCGGCATTTAGCATTTTAAAAACGGGACCAAGTCTTAAAAGACCGACACTGAAATTTCGACGTATTCTAACTCTTAATATTGGTATTCGGGAAATCCTCGGATTGAACCTCTGAATCAGTTATCTAAAACGACTGTTCGAACTTCTGTGTAGCCTAGATTCGAAACCTAGAAGGAGGACGAAATAGTGCAAATTGAAGAAGAGCGAATATCAAAACGTATGTCAAAACGCACCAAATTAGGACACAACTTAGACAATTGCACAGAACAAAGTTCGCCACGAGGTAACATAAAACCGTAAACTACACCATCAATACATCAACCTGTTCGAAGAGATCCTTCAAAGGGTCAGGCGAACAACACAACAAACCCCTGGAGGTAAAGTAATCAAAAAGCAAACAGGCATAATAAATGTAAAAATGATAATCTGGTAAGTGCAAAAAAATGTTCTATTTCTTTTGTGTCTTCTCGTAAATTTCCTATGATCGACGTCCGCTAAAAACGAGCAATTCAAGATTATTTTTTACTAAATCACGGAAAGTGCTCGACACAACTGCCTAAGGGCCCTCTAGGTCTCGTTGTTTCAATATATCATTCAATTTCCCGCGTAAATTCCAGTTCCGCGTTACTTCCATACCCGAATTTACAATTTGACCGTCTTTCCGCATTCACCGTCCCGACCTTCCGGTTTAACGCCCCCAATTTCGCAAGTCCCGACCTCGCTAGAGCTCCTCGACGCACTCCTTCGCTCGCAGCCGGCGCGCTACCGCCGCCCGCCCGCCAGCCAGCGCAGCCACGTGACGCGGCGCACGTGGCATACGCAGCTCCGCCACGCCACGCCACGCCTCCTCGCCGGCCGGCCGGCCGGCAGCCAGCCAGCCATTCGGACCAGGCACTCACGCGCACAATCGCCGCCTCCAGCGCCTTTCATCACCTGGCCGTGAAAGCCATGCGCTCCTCGTCACCACTGCCGCCTCCTCCTCCTCCTCCTCCGCCCCGCGAAAGATAGCGCGCCATGTAGCGTCTGCGGCGATCGCGAACGTCAGCGCTGGAAACAATCGTCGCACGACTCGAGGACACGAGCGCGATAGCGACTTGCGTCTGGTGCAGCTGGCAAAGCGCTGCGGAGCTCTTTCCTACGAATTCCCCTTGGGATTCCTTGATCGTGTGCTCGAGTACAAAGAAAACTAAATCGACCCCCCCCCCCCTCGAGCATGAAAAGTAAACAGTAAAACACTAACCAACTCTTTACACAACGGAACGTCTTTTTGTTTGTCAAATACCTAAAATAAAATCAGGTATGTTTCGAACAATGCCTAACGGAAGAATTGACAACACTCAAATGCCAAAATGACAATTGTTCATTTGACATTTTTCCACGACGCTAGACAGATGACGTAGAAAGAAAAAAAAAAGTGAAAATGTTCTGATATGGAACATTCGTTAACACAGATATTGGATTCATAAGATATTCGTCAGCACGTATGGACGTGATGAAACGATCTCACAACACGTGCAATTCTTACCGCACGTCACCGACCTACCTTGACCACGGCTAACATGTTCAATCGAAATACTTTTTCAGGCCGACCTAACCGCGATGTCACAAATAAATGATGAATTACACCTTATTCTTGGATTTTAAAAAATCGAGCGTTCTCTTCCGAAATTAAAAAAAAAAAATTGATGAATACTCTCACGTCAAATAACAGACATTGGACAGGTATCTAATGTATTCGGGTTTTTGTGCTCTAGACATATAGGTTAGCTAAGACTAGAAGTAGCATTTCATACTGACGTCTGGCTCAGATCTTGCACTTCGAATCACCCGTCACATAATGTCAAAACAATCGCTATATACTCAATAGTTCAATCATTGAAATCAAGTATACAAACCAGCACATAATCATGTTATCTTTTTTGAACTTGAATAATATCAGAGAAAACAGAGAATTCCTGATACTGCAAGAACAATTGGAATAAAATACTACCTCCAAGGTTTTAGATGAACATCAGCTCTTAAAAACCCGTCCTACGTCCCTTAAACAACACACGACAGATTTATATCATTTGACATTCACTATAATCAATACAAAATAAGCACGAAGTCGGTGACAACTTATATTTTGGGTTCCAACGTGATTGACACATCTTGTAAAACACTGCACCACTGAAAATAGGTTTGTCCTAGGTTAATGAAACGTGTAGGTAAAATTAGAAACTTTTCGATCTCTTACCTCTGACTGGAAATGGCTTCGTCTGAATTGTTTCAGTAGGCGGTGGAATACTTCTCTTAGTTTCTGGCGACATGGATACGAGACAAGCGCATAACCTCACAGAGAAACAATGAAATGAAGTTCACGCACACGGACGGATCAAGACGAATTCATTACAACCTCATGTTTCGTTTGACACAAGTCTCCCCATATTCCATTCACCAATCCTAATTCTTCAAGGCGGAGTCGGCAAAGCCTTTTCCACCAATTAGAAGGCGCAATCCATATTCCCCATAATGACATAGCGCATAACAAACGCCTAACGCCAAGCGAAGCGTACACAAGCAATGCTGCCACTCACGATCCATTCCAGGCATGCCAACTCCACCTTAACACATTCATTAACCAGGATATCAATACTTACAATTCACTTTTGCAATGTTTTCTTTTTGGTTTATTTACAAAAATTAAACAAAGGTATAGGGTGTGAATGAACTTTATTGAGCTGATATAAATAAAAAGTGCGCATTTTGAAGTGATCATAAATTTTTAGAGATCCTGCTTAGAGAGATTACTAAGTAATAATTTAAATAGTCGAAACATCACATGAAAACAAAAAAGGGTGGCCTCAACCTTTTCACGAGGAATGTCTAGAAAACACTAGTATTTTGCAAGGATTTAAAATGAACAAACATTTCAAACATTTGCAAAACAGTGCCACTTCCGCACAACATTAAATACTTCATGTCAATATGGAATATATAATACTGACTTGCATCAATGCTAAGAGGCAATAGTTCTAAATAAAAAATATATTAAAAAATCCTAGAACGTGTAGCATTTGCTGCAGTCAATATTTCAACATTGTCTGAAGACAATCAACATGGAACAACAAAGGATGATATGACATGCATTGTACTATATTGATATAAAAATGGTCACCGTTTAATTGAATGAGATGATTCATAATTCTTTTAGAGTAGACCTTCAGAACATGAAGTTACAAAAATTATTACAAATGCATAACTTCACAGGTGTACTTGTGATCTGAGTGTTATAGAAATAAATCAAAAATATAATACAACACAAACATTTTCAAAATTCAACACAGACTTTCAGCAAGCCACATAACCTCATTAAAATCACCAGTCTATTACAAGTATTTATTATTAATAATACTTCTAACTTGCACTTTATACTGTCTACAGTCTAACAGTTAAGAGACTTTCCAAGACAATTTACTTTTTACATTTACAAAAAAATCCCATTCTGAAAACCTCTTCCAGCTGCAGGAAAACAAGAGGAAACTCTAAACCATACAAGAAAACACCCAACAGTAAGTATAGAAAATGGGAGCATCTTCCTTAAGTTTCCATGGTTTCCTTCTGATTGAGATCCATTGGTACAATTATTTTAATTCACAGAGAACTGGAATAGTTGTAACAATTTGTAATCACATCTGTCTTGCACAACCACACATTTTCACAGGATTTCCTCTCAGATGGTGATTCAATTCACTGCAAAACAAAGAAGAAACAAATTAGCACATGCGGTAGTTAATAAAATACAGTAAAGAAAGGAGCAGATAGACTTAACACTATCAAAACAACACATTCTATACATTGAAACATTTCAACGGTCATTTTTGTAGATACAGGCAGACTCACGTCAACTGGAGATTTACAGATATAAAACAAAGTAAAGTAATTTCATTTAATTTCACAATGCAATGTACACAGTGCAACATGTTTCCAAACAACATGCAGCTACAATGTGAACAGCAAAAATACACACATAACTTAGTTATTTAATACAAATTGTTTAAATTACACTTAAAAGTAATGAGCAAGCACCTTCATAAAAATAACTACTTATTTTAATCATGAGGGCGGGGAAAAAGTCCATGAAAATATACATTGCATTTTACTCTACAACTGAATTTAATCTGAATGCATGCTGAGTAAGAATTGAATTATTAAGAATTAATTTTGTTAGATGTTTACTACTAAAAAGCTTCTGTATATTTGCAAAGTATTTAATCAATCCATATATTAAACAAGCTATGGACTAACACCTCTCTCACAAAAAAGAAGGATGGCATGCATTTTAGTCTGCTAATTTAGTGTCATACTACACTGCCAAGAACAATACAATAAAATAAGGCAAGTATTTTGTTATTATTAATAACTGGCAGCACATGAAGAGGAATGTGGAAATAACGGAAATATTGCACACACTAACAGCTTATATCTATTCTCTTTCTTTCTCCTTTTCATGTTTATTTCGATCATTTGCACACCCCTCCACATACATTAAAAGCTGGGAGAAAATGTAAAACTTGCATGTTATATTTTATCTTCAATGGAAAAAAAGGCGAACACAGAACACTTAGAACAAATGTTGGAGGCAGTCCAAATAAATTATTTTAGAAATAGCAAACGATTAACAAAGAACACAAAGCCAACAGATCTAGAAAATACTGTTCCACCAAACCTGAGGTGATGGTTTAAGTGAGCACAATTTTTTTCTAAAAATTATATTTTTATAACAAATATTTTTTGTTCCTCTGTTGGCTCAGCTGTCTACCACGATTCTCTCCAGTTGCCATCATGAAACAACGGCACCCGAGAGACGTCGATTTCAGGTGACGCCTCTGTAAAATATCCACCAACCACCTCTGAAGTCAACGACACCCAAACAACGATATTTGCACATAAGACACATGAACGTTCATTCCAGCAAGGGGGAAGGTTAATTGTCAATTCAGATAGCTTGAAAAAGTAATGTTGTCCAGAATGAAGTGAACACATTGCTCGAAAGTAGTTCAAAACCACAGAAGTAAAAGCAAGCTTTACTATGCCTCACAGCATGCTCTGTCCCATTAATTGCATTAATGAAGTATAGAAGTAATGAGAACAGTATCGAGTAACTTCAACACACTGGTAAATTTACAAGTGTATTATTGAACTGTATGGTATGTGACAAAAATATTTTCACACAATTATCCACTAGTGCATAATGCTTAAATGCCTTGCTGAAAATACTTCATGCTAATGTGTCACCCAGTGTCACAAAACTATGGGCAAAGCATCCAAATGGAAATAAAGTCTAGAGAAACTGAACAAAAATGAATCAAGAAAAAAATACAAGCCTCAGAAAAGCACAATAACAGCATTTATCACTTCAGAAAGGCTGCAGAAATATAATAGAGGTGCAGCATAAAGAATGCAATCATCTAATCCATTCTGAAAAGAAAGGCAAACTCCATTACAACACGAAGATCCTCTTCATAGATTTGCAAAAGCAATTATGTGTATCACATAAGAAAATACAAATAATTCTTGATTTAACTAATGTGTCAAAGTATCATTTGATATGTAAAACACAAAATCAATGACCTTTTAAAGTGAACAGTTGTTCCAAGCTGTTCTGAACACCTCCCAAAATTTCCCTTCTGAATTTCACTCCTAATTTAATCGCAATCACAAGAATACTCTTGGGAAGCATTCTCTCATTAATCACAATTGAGGTTTGGGAGGCAAAAAATCACTAACTCAAAATCACAGTAAATTATACCATAATTAATGAAAATTATTGCAACATGAATAAGTACTTCAGAAAAAACAAGGATTTTTACAGGCTGCAGGTAAAATAATTGATCTTTAAGTATACAATATCAATGAAGGTTTGAAATATAAGCATTTTTTTAACCACAGACAGGCTTGTAAAATTATTTCTTCAAAATATTTTAATTTCTGAAATTGGTTTCAAGAACAGTAGAATTGGGAAAGAGTATACTTTTAGGAGTTCTGTAGTAAAATAGATAGGGAAATGAAATGTAGATTTTTGGTGCTTTTTAATCATTCTCAAATGATTACATTTAACTGTCAATTTATAATCTATTCCCTAAAATGGAAGGCGAAAAGACTGTTCTAACAAATAGCTAACTTCCTTATCTTGTAAACCTGCACATCACAGAGTAATATCTTGGATTTGAAGCACAAAATGCTTCAACATTAAAATGTTTCCTGCTGCTTCAATATTCATAGACAAAAATAGTTAATTATTAATTTAACTTACTCTCACAACCATTTCCTTTGTTTCACAGGCATACAAAGTATTCACAGAAAGAAATAAAACAGGATACCTTTATCAAAAAAGTACACTCCGTTTTCTGAACACTACAAATTTACAATAATTCAAGCACAGAGACATCCTACTACAGCATTCAAGAGCTTCAGAACCGGAAAGTAATTATTTGTCTTTTATGTAAACATGCTGTGGTTTTATTTACAACAAAATTAAGTTCTGACAATAAATTTACTCTTCTTAAAATTTGTCTACATTGCATTGTCTAAAATAACTATTTTGTTGTTACATAATTTCCAAACCTTATAGGGAATATATTCAAACAAAGGAAACAATCCTCTTGTTAAAGCAGACCTAAAAGAGCAATTCCAAGGACATATTCAATTCCCAAAGGAAGAAGAGAAGTTGTTATTGAACAGTTTACTTCTACAAGAAGTCTTTTTCATCTATGCATTGAAAAGCAATTTGTCTGCTCAAATAATTAAATTGATCTCAACAACTCAATCGTCCTACACAAGTCCTTTCATCACAACTAATTGGTTTATTCCAATAAGTTACTCAACAGAGTCATAGAAAGTATTCATTTCAGAGATCAAAATTATCTTATACACGTTCATACATTAAAAGTCTAAATTAAAAAATGTACTTATTAACTGACCTAAAACCCTATTTTTGAAAGTAAAAACCCCTTACTATTAAGAACTAAAAAAAAGAAGAAGGAATTGGTAAAAGATGTTTCTGTATCCTAAATGTTAGAAAGTACAAGAGTTGTTGAGAAAATGGCATTATGAATAACAGTATTCCTAAAACTTACCAGGAAATCCTTGTGTTGGCTGACCAGGGACAGAATATTGAGGTCGGAAGTTGGCAAAATTTGCGCCGCCAAAGGCGGCAGGGAGTTGGCCACCTGGGAAACTGCCTGGGAATTGACTATTCAATAAAGCTGCAAGGAACACAAAAATGAGTTAATGAAATTTTCTTACAATTTAGCATATTTCACATGCAAAAATGTATCTTCAAAATAATTTCTAAAATACTAATGGTAACAACTGAATTGAATGTGAATATATTCCACACAGAGAATCAAAACCTATCTTGAGATTAAAGCTTAAAACATGGCAGTTCAGATGGGTATGAAGTTGTCACATACGTACAACAATGTGGAAGAAAAAAAATATTTGAATTCATTGACCTAATGATCGGAATTTGTTACAAACTATGAAATTATTTAACTACTACTAGTTGCATCAAGATACTGTACAAAATTAATGTTAATTTTCATGGAAAAACATTAGAAGGAACATAATACAAGTTATTGTATTTCTTGATGCAAAATGGTAACTTAAGAAACATTTAAATTTCCAATTGTACACAATAAGCCAATGCTCCAATAATTTTCAACAAATAAGCATTTAGAAAAACACATGCTACCGGCTTACAGTAAAGACATTGAGGTAAATACCTCGTAGTCACTGTAAAAGACAAACTGCCAAATTGTCACTGTATTAGAGAATAGCATTCACCTTTTCTCTTCACAAGCACTTTTATCTCTACTTTGATGTATGTCTTGCAAATATTATATTTCAGTTTCCTTAAATGGAAAGGCAAAGAAAAAGCACTTAAATCCAACAGACTTGGTTTAATACGTGAATGTAAGACCACACCATACTTTCGGAAAGAGATTTCGGTGAAAAACACCTTGTGTAGTATTTTGGTAAACATGGCAATTCCCTAGTGCTATCTAAGATCAAGTGCATCTTATAAAATAAGCTTCCTCTAATCACAAATATAGTGATATGAGAAATCAATTTATCTGAAGATCAGACTATAAACTTCTCAGTAACATTCATTTGCATAAAATTTACTCCACACTTCATGTTTTATGTAAACAGGACATAAAATATTTTAGCAATGATCTCCCATTCCATCCTACAATAACACATTTGCTGTGAACATTACCTACTATACTGAGCTAGAGCAACTATTCACCAGCGCAACTTACCAGCGGGACCCTGCTGGGAGGTGGTGGGGGTGGTCGGGGTGCTCCCAGTAGTAGTTGTGGCTGCTAGGCGAGACAGAATGGAGCGCTCTGACATCTGGAGCCGCTGGGCCACGGGGGGGATGCGCGCCAGGGTGGCCGGCAACCGGCTCACATCCGACTTCATGTCCGACAGCAGCTCCTCCAACTGGTTTAAAACCTACATCACGGGAAATTTATAATTGGTTAAATTACATCTTTGGTCAGTGAAACAATTCAGACAACTCTACACAGTTCTAATTTCACCAGAAACTTTTATCTGAGTTTGAAATAAAGAAGCATTAATATCTATCCAATGCAATCCATACGTTTTTGGTATTGGTCATTCTAATGTTAAAAGTATCCCGAATTACCCATTTAAAAACGTATAAAAAGATTTAAAAATATTAATCACATTTTCCTCCTCACAAACACCAACAATTTTGATTACATTTTGACTTCAGATAGTGTATGGGATGCTTTAGAGAATGGCAGATTAACAAACAGGCTAAGTAGGCTGCAGCCTTGGGCGCGCAATTTTTTGAGGCGGACGAATTTCACCATTTAATGTGATCCCAACACATCCATCAGGATAGTGTATGTACCTTGTGCAAAACAGCATTTGCAGGCTTATTGCCAGCCAGACTCTCCTTAGATAGATGCTGGTGTGATTCTGCAAGACATTCCACCTCTGCAAACCTAGCATTGAGAGACATTGCTGGATGGTTTGGGTCTTGGGTAAGATTCAAGTAAGCTGCTCGACGTAGTTGTTCCTCAATGACCAGAGCTTGTTCAAGAAGCTGAAATATAAAGTGAAAACATGAGCACAAAAGGAATACATTTTTGAATTTGCAGATGTAGAGAGGACCTGCTTCTCACCTTGAATCTTCTCGCAAGAAATTTGTTTTTGATTTCTAGGAAATTTCCTTTCCCTACATCCATTTTAAATGGTTCATTTATTATTGCAAACCTAATATCATTTTGAATATCTTGCCAGCGACCATAACCATGAGTCACAATACCAGCCAGAAGCCAGTAATCATGCCTGCAACAAAATTTTCTTTGGTTTTAAATTTTCAGGCACATCTACACAAAAAATGTAACACGTCACCTAGAGCAAATTCTAACTCACCTCCTGTGCCAAATTTCATATTCACGACCAGGTACAGCAGCTTTCTCTTCATTCAGCCATAAGGTATGTAATTCTGTAAAACCTCCATCAGCAATATTGAACATAAACTTCCGTTTCTGTTTATCCATTATATCATCAATGATCTTCACTTCTTCTGACTTTTCGTCTTTCTTTTCCTCCTTTATACCATCTTTCTTATCCTAAAAAAGAATGTTGATTAGAATAAAGAAATTCCAACAACATACACATTTCAATATATTCTTGAAAAATTACCTCTTTCTTTTCTTCACTTGATTCATCTTTTACAACCACAACATCATCATCATCTTTTTTCGATGTCCCAGCAGCAGGAGTGGTAGAAGTAGAACTTGCTGCAGCAGTTGTTGATGTTTCATCTTCCTTAGGCTTTTCCTCACTTTCAGTTTTAATTTTGCTCTCAGTCTTTTCTTCTCCATTTTCCTTGGGCTGTTCTTCTGTTGGTTTCTTCTCTTCACTCTCTGCAGGCTCTTTCTTTTCTTCAGACTTTTCTTTCTCTTCAATTACTTCCTCTTTGACCGCTGCAGATGTACTTGGAGTACTGTCTTCTTTCTTCTCCTCTTCTTCAGGTTTAACTTCAGTTTCCTCTTTTTTAATTTCTGTTGGTGGTGTGTCTTTTCCTTCTTCTTTTACAGGCTCTTTTTCTTTTGTAACATCATCCTTGTTTGTACTAAGATCTTCCACCTACAGAAGAATTTTCATTAATTATTTTCTCTTAAAAATATGCCTAATTTTTATTACTATTATATATGTGATTTGTATCATTACAAACATTTGGTGAAAATATCATAGCTATAACAGAAACAGAATGACTGGAATTCATATTCTGTATTCCAATAATGCTTCATTATTATAACAAAGAATATATTACCTTTCAACAAGAACACTACAATTTTGATAAAATGCTTACTTCTAAAAATAAAAATATCAATCGAATGTAGATATAAATACAGTACACTAGTAAGGAAAGAAATTGAAGAGTAAATATTCAATACAATATATTTTACTCAATACATTCAATATTATATTCAACCCAAATTGAATATATTTCATTGGGGCAAGTAATCAATCAATTTTTGTTAAGGCAACTGATAAATTACTAGTTTTATTTGAATGCTTGTCATGAACTGTTACATCCTTTAAATATGAAGTCCTTTAGCAAGCACAATCTAGTTCAATAATAAATCACACATACCTACAGCATTCTGCAAGAAAATGTGCAAAGCACTGCACTCTCAAAGAAAGAAAAGCAGGATACTAATTTGATGGAAATGTTCCAAAAGGACAAGACAGGAAATCGAAATAAACTGATGTTAGCACTTAAAGTGGAATTCTTGTGTATAGCTATCGATTCCAGGATCTTTTTACCAGCACTTGGATGCTTATGCATACTGAATTGGCGCAGAAGAGGCACAGGAATACTCAGACGAGAGGCTCCAAAATACTTTTAGAAGTCATAAGATTCAGATGAGTCAGTCATAAGATTTTTGTCACAAAGCTGTATTATTGTATATCTAAAGTGATTGTGGGTCAGGAAGAAACAAAATATATTACAGGAAAATTTGGTTTGGGAAAAAGAAGCAAAGGGGGAGAGATTAATTTATTTCTGTGTATGCAACAGCATGTTTATAGCAAACAACAATGTTCAAGAAGCAAGAGAAACATTTGTACACATGGACATCCCCAGATGGCAGATATAAGAATGAAATTGACTATATCTTGGGAAAATGTAGAGGTCTTCTATACAGGATGCTACTACAATACCTGATGAGGACTGTGAAACAGATAATGAACTGATGGTAGCAAAAATAAAGGTTAGATTGAAGACAACGAAGAGTGAAAGACCTAAAATCAGGTATGATGTCCAAAACATTCCAAACACATAAGGAAGCTATCTCAAGGAGGTAGATCAGAACTAGTGGTGTACAAGAGGACCCACAAACAGCTTGGGAGTCTATTAAAGAAGTAATCCTTGAAGAGGCAAAAAAGCATATCCAAAAGACAAAAATGAAACAAATCAAGCTGGTTTTCTGAGAAAGCCATTAAAATGGCAAAAGAGAGAAGGAATGCGAAGAAAGTGGAGGACTGGTGGAGTACAGGTGCTTAACAGAAGATTTCAATACAAAGCAAGGAAAGACAAGGCAAAATTCATTAATTCTAAGTGTAAGAAGCTGAAACATATAACCCAAAGTTTAGACCAAAAGAAATGCTCCAGATTATAAGAGACATCGTGAAAGAATTCAAACCAAGGGTAGGAGCAGTTAGAGACAGCAATGGCCTTCTATCTTCAAAGCAAGACATAACTAAAAGATGGTAGGAATATACACAACAGCTGTATGAAAGGGATTCAAGTATTGACAAACATTTCATTACAAGGAGTTATGAAGAAGAACTAATGACACTAAAAGAAGTCGTATGGGCCCTTGAACAAATAAAGAATGGTAAATCTGCTTGGGGAGATGACATACCCATGGAAATGATAAAATGTGCAGGTGATGCAATTATAGGAAGGATATCAGATCTTTGCAACATGATATGGAAAAAGAAAGAATGGCCAGTGGATTGGCAGAGAATGATTTTCAATCCCTTACCACAGAAGACAAGGGAATGTGCTAACAATAGAACAATAGGATTGTCAAGTCATGTAAGAAAGATCGTGCTGAAAATAATAAATAAAAGACAAGAACCTTTTATAGAAAGAACTGTCAATAGAACAAACTGGTTTCAGAACGGGTAAGGGAACCAGGGATCAGATAGTGAACCTAAGATGGATAAGGGAAGAGAGCAGAAAAAAAACAACCACCTACATTTATGCTCTTTGGACTATTCTAAAGCATTTCACTCTGTGGACCATAATGGATTACTTTAACAAACATGGGCATAACAGGACACACAATCATTATACTAAGACAACTATATACAGGAGAAGAAGTGAGGGTGCAATTAGCAGAAGGAATAACTGAGTGGTTTAAAATTAGCAAAGGAGTTAGACAAGGATGCATTCTCTTCCCTGGATTGTTGAATCTGTACACAGAAATGATCATGAGAACAATGAAATTGAATGAAATGAATGTTAGGGTAAGAATTGAAGGACGCCGAATCAACAATATTTGATATGCAGATACTTGCAGAGGACAGCAGAGGTTTAGAGAAACTATTAGGAAAGTGACAAGTCAGAAAGCAGGACTCAAGAAGAATTTAAAAAGACCGTAGCAATGACAACTAGACAGAAAGAGAAAATACAGATAAATGAAGAAGAAATAAAAACTAGAAACAAGGTAAAATTTCTGGGAGAAATTACAACAAAAGACGGATGATGTACTGCCGAAATTAAAAGAAGAATAATTTTGGGAAAGGCAGCCTTGAGAAAATGTAACCAATTCATTAAAGACTCGGGTTTATCAAATAAGACTAATACTAAACTAATTTTTTTTAAATTTCTAATAGTTTTATACGGCTCCAAAAGCTGGACTTTAAGATCTATCGACAAAAGAAAGAAGGATTTGAAATGTGGTGCTGGCAGAAAATATTGAAAACTCATTGGATTCACAGAAGAACAAACCTGTCTATATTGGAAGAAGTGAAGCTGGGTTTCTTTTCAGAAACCACAGCCATCATATAGAAATTATCATTCTTTGAACGCATTGTAAGAAGAATGGAATCATTGGACAAGGACATGATCTTAGGAACAATGGATGGAACTAGGAGACCGGGAAGGAGAATAAGATGGGATGAGGAAATCAAAAAAGCAAACCAAGTTGACTTGGATAAAAGCAATGAGAAGGACTCTACACAGAACAGTTTGGAGGAAACTTACTATGGAAGTGATAACAGAAAGGAAGAGAAACTTTAAGGAAAAGGCTGGCAACCAACTGCTATGAATATCTCTATGGATCATCAAGGATCGCGTGTGATCTACATATTACACACAAAGTTATTGTGGCTCCCGAAAACATGTCAGAAAATTGTCAAACATAATGGTAATCCAAAAGATGCAAGTGTAGATGTTTTTGTCAAAACAAGAATACAGGACATTCAAATACTTTGATTTGAAAAGTCAACAAAGTTTTTCTGTTCCTAGAAAGCCTATTTAAAAAGGGCAAAGATAAAATACTTCAGTTTAATAATACAGAAAACATTTTGTAACTAGTTTTCATGAAATGTTCTTTCCTTACTAGGGCTGTGACTTATATGCATTTGCTATTTTTTCTGTGAACTAAAACATCCCATTTCAACAAATTATATACATTTTGAAGTATTTAGAATCTATTTAAGCTATTTTCATTTCACATATGACCATAATTGCATATTTGCATATTTTTGTTGTACCCCACATCCGCAAGAAGTAGCCGAAAAGTTACAGTCCCGTCGTGTACGTAAGCTTCCGCGGCTCGAATTCATGAATTCTCGGCTGTCCGGGAGACGCCGCGTCGTTGGCTGGGGTGCCGACGTTTCGCCCGACATTTCGCAGGCTTCCTCAGGGTAGTGACTACGGCGAATGTCGGGCGAAACGTCGGCACCCCAGCCAACGACGCGGCGTCTCCCGGACAGCCGAGAATTTACAGTCCCGTCAGCGTGTAAATGGCTCTTACAGTTCTCTCACCACTTGCCATGGATCATCACGTTACCTGCTCTGAAGCAATGGGCTTCCAAAGATTTGTTTGCATTGCCATAACCACAGATCAGTGTTGCCGCTTGCCGACTTATATGAAGTTACTCAAAAAACAAGCTAACACCTGTCATCTGGCAGTATCAGTTGAAACGAAATGTGCATCTGCCAAGTGCCTAAGCGTGCTCCCACACGGCGCAAATGTGGAGTGGTATTAAAAGTGTCAGGCCCGTGAATTTGCCATGAATTGAGAGGAAATCATAATTTTTATTGCAATTCCTATATTTTTTATTTTGTGAAATGTACATTCATTGCGTCTCCCATTATTTTCCTAAGAAATGAGTGTTCTTCAAAATTAAGCCCTTGCCACTTGTAACAATTTTTATGATTTCTGTAACTTTTTGCTGTAAACATATTTTCCACATTATATTTTTTAATTATATTTTTACACTTGCAAATTACATTACCCTATTTTATTTATTTTCGATTTTTAATTGCAAATACGGTATTACCAAACATATTTAGATATATACACACATATTTTGCAGTTTTTATTGCATATAAATCACAGCCCTAGTTATAACATTCCTCTACAACATGTAATATACTAATATCAAACGAAGCAATTAATTACCTGTATTTTATCATATTTAACAGCAATATTACATGATTTCTAAAAAAATAATTATTACTCATTAAATTATCAATGAAATGAAGAGGTCTAATGTTCTACTTCTCTTAAATATTTGTTATGCTGTGTCTCAAAGTTTTACTGAAGATGGTTAATTTCTGTAATAATGCCTTTTCACTAATACATAACTGATCTTCATTATTAATTGTTAAGTACATACAAATTCAAAAGTAACTTCTAACATTTACTGAATTAACAAGCTAAAATTTACAAACCATTGCACACCACACAGATTTATCATATTACAACATTTGAAGCTTTTTCCTGTAGTGAGGAAGCAGAAATTCACAATTATAATTCTGTAATTGTTTTTCACCAGTCATTTAAAGTACAGATTAAAATTAACACTTGCCTCTTTCTCCTTAGTATCCTCTTGACTATTCAATGTTGGAGCTGGGCTGGCTGCAGCACTCGTTGCCGGTGTGGCACTTGTGCTAGTGGTAGCACTACGTTCTCCGGCTTCCCCACTGCCAACTAATTTCACAGGTTCCACAGGTTTGCGAATGAGTTCAGGCATACTATAATAGCCATTGATATGTTCAAATTCTTGAACCTGTATGCCGAAGATCATAAAATGAAAGAGAGAAATAACCATCTCATTTGAACACTGTTCACATATTATATGTAATGCACTTGAAAACTTGTTTCATTATGTCCATTTTCTTCTAAGCATTTCGCTTACATTTTTGTTTCTGTTTTAAGATCATGCAACTTTTACCTGAATATAAGAAACCTTTTTTCGTCAATAACATTTCCCAGAAGATTTTTGGCACCCACCAAGGATTTGCGAGGCAATTCGTACAAATCTTTTATAATGGGCCCATAACGACAGAATGTCTAACAAATGGCATTGTAGTATGCAAAAGGCAACATGAAAATTAATAAAAATCATAACCAAAACTTTTTCATGACATTTTTCAACAATGATCAAAAAGGGCCATGCACTCTTAGTTCTTGATGCCTGGTGGGTGCAAACCTGCACTATACAAAAGATAGAAATAAAAAAAAATCAACTTTATATAAGTTTGCAATAAAATGGAATGATAAAAAATATTTTCTCAAAGAAAAAAAATTTATAAAGTTAAGAACTGCTGTTCTCTTCCGTGCAACATGTGGATCAGGTGTATAGGATGTGCGAGTTCATTTTTCACACCCAGATCATGCAAATTTAATTAAATAGTTTAGTAGTCTTATATTCAGGTATAAACAGAAATTAATAAGTAACTAATTTTCCTATTTAATTTTACATTTGCAAATATAAAAGATATTTTATACAATTGCAGAAAAGTGTTCTTGTTTGTTCATGATTCCAACTCAGTAAGTTTTCCTGTTACAAAGTTGTCTACATTTATAATAATTAAAATTTAATATAAGAGTATGAAGGATTCAAATAATACAAAATTTATGAGATTTCAGAATCTCTCAGAATATTGATTCAGATATAGGAATATTTGGTACAAATACTTATTATTCATACGTTAAAACAACCTCAAATTGGATGAATTTAGTTTTTTGCAAAAGTCTCTCTTAATGGCTGGTATGGTGTACAAAATTTATTATCATTGCATTTGTTGCTAGAACAGGGATAAAATTAAATTTAAAACTACTAGTACTAAACAGCATATTTTGTCTTACAATGCAATTGTAACAGTCATGTAATATTACAGTTTTACAACTTAAATCATACAAATTCTTCAGTCATCTCTTTAAAAAAAATCCCTTCCGCAAAAGGAGCGTAGAAAATGCAAATTTGCGATTTTGGAAAGTTTCAATGTTTTAATGAAAGTTACCATATTCTAAATTCATATACCATATTCTGTTACCATACTTCTAAGGGCACTTGGCTCTATTTGAGAAAAAATTCAAAGGAAAACAAAATTTTGCTATCGAAATTGACTTGTTGCTAGTTTAAAAAGGCTACTCAGTAGAGAAAATTTATGACTAATTTATCTCTGTATCTACGAGGAAAAAAATATTTTAAATTAAAAAGTTTTGAGATTTCAAGAAATTTTTTAAGAGAATCTGAAAACATTAGCATGTACTAATGAATGAAATTTAATTATAAAAACACTAACATAAACATTTATATGCAATTAAAAACTACAAATATTTAATTTTTGGAAATGCAAAAGTTTTAAATGAAAATGGTATTTAAACATCATATAATACAGTGTACTGTGCCCTATGCTTAAACATTTTTTTGAAGTAAACTTTTGGTTTAATTTTGAGAAAATTATGTTTGTATTTGTGAAAAAGTCATCAATTCACCCTTGTCACTACCAAAACTGTTGTGGCTGCCAAGGCAGTAGTGCTCAAGTTACTGTCGTTGGTGAAGTGACAGATTTGAGTCTTTCACGCACCATTTTGTCAACCATTTTGTAGTGACAAGGGTATTGGCTTCCCCACCCTTGATGCATTGCTTTTTTTCATAGTACCCTATCTTTCTTGGTCAGTCGTGTTGGTGGGATGGAGTACTTCCTCAGTACCTCGTATCACCTGCATGCATCCTATCCTTCTCTTCATTCCTTTCCTTACCCCCGTATCTTGTACATAACAGACCAGTGTTTGTTTCGTGCATGTCTGCATTTCATTGCTAATAAGAAACATTCTCTTTTATAGTTTCTTCAGATTTTCTACACACCTACTATAAATATAGGTAAAACATTTTTCTATTCTCTTATTTCACAATTAAATGTTAGTAATTCACCATAATGTAAGTGGGAAATTACAATAAAAATTCTTCGGTGGCCTTTTTAAAACATCAAAATGAGCAAACTGCTCAGAATGGAACCTTAATATATATAACCATGTTTTTTGCAATAAAATATTTATTGCAAAAGTTAAAATTTTAACTATTTTCGAGATTTTGAAGATTTTAACAAAAAGCAGTCTTTTCCATTATAAATTATTTTGATCTGAACACAAATATGGCATTTTTGAAAATAAATTGGGAATATAAAGCACACCCCCAAGTTCACATGAAACCCATCAGCGAATATAAATTTTGGAAAAAGTCCACCAACAATTTTGGTGCTAGAGCTGTTTGCATGGTTAAGATGTTACACCACATCAATATTATTTAACAAAGCATTGATCATTATCAGAATATCATTTAAAGGAGAGTGCATCTCCAACTCCTGTTAATAAAATACAGAGGAATATCTAAAACATCCCAAATACCTGAAGATTCACTAAAAGCACAGAACTTACATTTGTATATTAACAACTTACCTTCTTTCTTATTAAGGACATGACACCAATCCGTGTCAAAACATGTTGTCGACTTAAACCTTCTCTTGGAACCCCATCGGCAAACGTCTCTGCATTATCTGCACCAGGTTCACAAAGATGTCGCATAAATAAAGAAACATATGCCTTGAAGTTTTTCTCAGATTTTCCTCTTAAGTCACGCACCAACCTGCAAATGTCCACACAGTAACTGTCACTAAACCTCTTCAGACATTCTCAAAATATTTTATATTGTTAAAATCTGCTTTGTTTTTGCTTCTTACCACTGAGAGTTAAAAGCATCTTGAGGTGGCATACCATAACGCATAATAGCGTTGAGAAATGCCTTTCTCTGACGAGCATTGAAACCCAGAACCTGCAACAACACAAATTTTTATTAAGGGTTGCACATTCACATACATTTTATTTATTTAAAGTGATATACAGGCAACAGAATATACGATCTATCAGTGGAAAAAGAGTAAAGGCCACTTAAGTTCAAGGTCTTCCGCTTTGAAGAGACGATCATAAGCCCTTTTGAAGGAGTTAGGACAGGGTGCCAATACTACATTCTTAGGAAGAATACTTCAAGACTCAACAGCTTGGTTGCACAGAAAATTTTTATTTTGAATTCGATTAAGCTTGGACTTAATAAGTTTCATAATTTTCAGAGGATGAAAAATGTGACTGAGATCAGTGCTGAAACGACTGTGAAAGATTTTAAATGTTTCAATTGGTCGCCACGTTGTTTTGTGGCAGCAAGCGTTGGAAGTCCAAGACCCAACAATCATTCATCTTAGGCGATGTTATAATGATCTATGGGTACCCGTGTGGCTATTTTTTCTGTGTTTTCCAACAGATTTATATCTTCAACCAGGTAAGTGTTCCAAATCACAGAACCAAATTTCACTTTCAGAAGTATGTAAGTCTTGTATAGAGAGATGAATATGTTACTTCTTATCACATTACAGGATTTAGCCAGTATGAAAGTAGCCTTAATAATAATAATAATAATAATAATAATAATAATAATAATAATAATAATAATAATAATAATACTCTTCCCCCAAACCACTTAAATATTTACATTTACAAAATTACAATTGAGGTGTTCTGATACTAACATACAATGGTAACTGACATGTCACATTACTTATGAAAGTGCAATGATCATATTACCTAATTGAAATGAGCTACATACAAGTAAAAAAACAAAGTATGAATGTATTTTCATTGTCAATTTTCTGGACTGTTAAGCTAGCATGATGAAAAGAGCCCATCTTTCTTATTTACAAGAATTTTACTTTCACAAAGGTCACAAATTATCGCCAACACCAGAATGCCTCAATTGGGAACAAATTGTAAGAAAAAAAGTAGGGCAGATTTTACACTTATATAGAAAGAGAAATATATAACTTCTTATCACATTAAAGGCTTTAGGTATGAAAGTAGCCTTAATAATAATAATAATGACTCAATAATAATTATTAACCTTTTCCATAATGTAACCCACATATAACATCCATGATCTAGTTTGCCAACTTAAAAAAAGTGTGTAATGGGGCTACTTTCCAATATGACGGCAATATTCCTGAATCAAAGGGATTCCTGAAGATTTTGTTTAAAGCTGGAGAAACTACTTCTGCACCTTGTTTCAGCACACAAGTGGGAATACCATCTTGATCAGCAAGACATGTTGGGATCAAGCGTCATTCAGAATTTCTTCTGAAGGAGGTGACACATAGCAGGAAAGGATCATTTGGTTCTAGTGAGTAAATTGATTGAAAGCTGTCTGCAAAAACTTTGGCAACATCTTTCAGGTCAGAAACAATTTTCTCATTTTCCTTCTGAAAAGAGTGTGGGGGAGAGATCTTAGAGGAGATCTGCTTGCGAATGTATATCATTTTCTTTTCATTGGCTTTGGCAATGTTTTGTTCATAATTTTTCCTGTGGATTCGAATTTTGTTGGTTATCATGAGCTCTTTGTATTTGTTGTTGTGGTTGACTATTAGTAGAATTAAATTTACTCTATAACCTTTTTTTGTTTGCATATGAATTCTTTTAGTAATCCATGGTTTATTTCTGGTTCACAATTTCTTTTTGCATAGAGTGAGCATCTAAAGCAATACTCATTATTGATCTAAACGTCAGCTATCTGCTCTCGAATTCCTAAGAGCATAGGTGTTCTGAAGTGATATAGTTGTTGAAGGTCTCTTCACATACTCGTTTGCTTACCAGTATATTCCGCGATTCTCACGATTTTCGAAACTCAAATATGCACCACTTAAGTCTATTTGCATATCAAAACGACATGATCACAGTTACCAAAGGGGCTCCTCATAACTGGAGTTGTCAAAGTCGATTCCAGCATTCCTTATATTTGCACCACATATTACTAAAATAATACATTGAAAGAAAGGAGATGATAACTCAATAATAATAAAATTATTGGACTTTATATTACTAATATTTATATATAATGAAATGTGGGTAGACACAGCTAAAGGAAGAGCTTTTTAAAACAGCCTCGGGACTTTTTAAAATTAATTATTATTATTATTATTATTATTATTATTATTATTATTATTATTATTATTATTATTATTAATATTATTATTATTATTAAAAAAATAAAATAAAAGCAGCTATAATGGGGAAAAGAAGTACAATGTGGAATCAGTTTGGAAAGAAAACAACATGCACCAAGGATGCAATATTTAGAAAACAAAATTAATAGACAATATGAAGGAAAAAAGTTAACTTTATAGTATTCTAGAGGGAAAAAATCTTAACAGATATAGTAAAATCCCCATTTTACATTTATGAAATTCACATTTTCCTGCCATTTATTCCAATTTTTACTGTTCCCTTTAATTCTCCTATGTTCCAATGTAAAATTGTCCAAGTTTTACCCTCTTGAAATTAACATTTCCCACCTCTTACACATCTTTCCCTTAACAGTGTTTATGCAAAGGATAGGGTGACTAATCATCACGCATGTGTATTCCCACTAACCATGCCCAAATACTTTACTATTTGATCAGAGAAAATCAAAATTACTCGATATAGGCCTGAGTGAAGTTTATCACTTTAAAATCAATTTTTGAAATAAGGAGAAAATGATTGACTTCTACATTGTATACATTTTAGAAAGATTTTACATATTACTGGCACATACTATATAAATGCACATTTCACTTCAAATTTCATTATTATCCCAGTTAGAAAAAATACGGAAAGTTGCTTAAAATCATGTTTACTTGCTAGCTACAACCATTTTTACTTTCTTTCTAAGTGTTCATTTTACCATCACATGGTTTCAATAGCAGAATCTTTGTATTCTAAAAATAAAAAGGAAAGAACAAAGAAGAGAAAAAAGAAACTAAACGTACTCCAACACATACTTTCTTGAATTATTTCTAACTTTTGCAATTTTCAAATATTCAGAGTTCAAAGAAAATAAGACCTGTGCCATTCTTTTAGCATACCTTGTTCCATGTCAGAAAAAGTTTGAAGAACATAAAATGTTGTGTAGCACAATTGATAAAACTTTAAAAAATAAATAAAGAAAATCAAGAATCATTTAACCCACGTAAGTCATTATTCATAGAATTTTTAAAGAAAGGTTATTTCCATTTCATTGTATTAAAACTTAACATTAATAACAAGTAAAATTTACTTCTACACCCATATAGAAAAAGTAGCATTATAAACAATCCCACTAACAAAATAACAAACGAGAAACAACTTTTTCTCCTCACTCACTTCAATATTTCCTCCCACTCGCGCCAGAAGCGGCGGTAGAGGTCGATCCTTCTCATCCTTTCTTTCCATCCGCCTTCTGCTTCGCCTTCCAGGATCAACACCTACAATTCCAAACATTATTTTAATTTAAATATCCAGTTATTTTTCAGTTATTACAGTTTGCAATCAAAATGTCCTCACCCATTTAGCAAAATACAATAAAATTCTATCTAAACCTTGATATTGAATTAGTTTATTACTGAAAAGTAGAAAAATGTTAAAAATAAGCTATACTGTGGAAACTATTTGTTCTTAGCTACAAAAGTAGAGCCATACCATCAGTCTTTTCATCAAAATCATCGTCCTCTTTGTCATCATCTGATGGGGCGGAGAAGTCTGAATTGTAGTCTGATAAGTTTTCTTGCCACGTTGCATCATCTCTTCCTTCGTTTCCATCATTGTAATTAACCTGTAGAATGGAAATACCAATTAAAACAACATCCACTAGCTTCATATTATCAAATGTAAGAAACAAAAAATGCAATTATTTGGGATACTTTCTCTTCTCACCTGCTTGCGCACTCTCTTGCCTTTGCCAAGTGTGCGTGCCATGTCTTCCTGTTGTTGTTCATAATGATGCCGTAATAATTTAACCCAGTATGCAGGATCAGTGTTCTCCGCTTCTTGTTTGATAATCTCTGTCGCTTCTTCTTCCTATAAATCAGACACTATTGTTAGCCCAATATACAATCTACACTAGAAGAACAGTGGATGTATAATCCAAGATACATACATCTTCTCCTTCTTTGGTAACATAACTGGCAACTTTGAATGAAGATAGATATTCGTTGGCCCAATTCTCTTTCTGTTCAATACCCTCCTTCGATCTATCCAATAATTCATCAATAGCTTTATCATCATAATGAATAGCTTCATCTTCCTTTCCCTAGAAATTCGAAAAGCATCATGAAGCAACATTTACTACAAGTAAGGTAAGATCCAAGTCCGTAATTACTTAGTGTCATAGCTTTCGAACTTACTTCTTCTTCCTTGAAAAGTTCTTCAGTACCAAATCGTAAAATATCATCAAGTTCCTGTTTTGAAAACGTTGCTCCACGTCCACCCATTCCAGGGCGCACAACTAAATGAGTCAACATCATTTTTCTTTTTGCCACCTGAGTTACTCTTTCTTCTACAGAGTTACGAGTGACAAACCGATAAATCATGACCTGTAAAATATCAATTAGCAGTTAATTAAATACTTACAGCTGCAATAACAAACTAATAAACAACCAAATGAATGTCAATGTTTTAAAAGCTTTTTATGTGTTTAAAAATGTGCATTATTTTTTAAAAAAGTGCAACAAAACATTTTTTCAGCCCTCATTTACAACTTACTTCTTATGGCATGTATTAACTCAAATCAATTACTTACTTTATTGGCCTGTCCAATACGATGAGCTCTTGAAAATGCTTGAATATCATTGTGAGGATTCCAATCAGAATCATAGATAATAACAGTATCAGCAGTAGCTAAATTGATACCTAAACCACCAGCTCTGAAATAAATGAATTTAACAATTTACATTTTTCATTGATGGTGCGGCGCAGGTTGCAAAAAAACCCAAATATTACATACCTTGTGGAAAGTAAGAACACAAATTGTTGAGCCCCAGGAGCATTAAATCTATCAATGGCTTCTTGTCTCACAGACCCGGTAATATTACCATCAATCCGTTCATACTTGTAGCCCTCTCCCTCCAAATAATCTTCCAAAATGTCCAACATTTTTGTCATTTGTGAAAATATGAGTACTCTGTACGAAATTTTAAAAAACTTGAGCAACATATTCACAATAAGCAAGAAAAAAATTAGACAATTTAAAAGAAACCAACCTGTGCCCTTGTTCTTTCAACTTCCGCAGCATAGTAGACAACAACACTAATTTCCCAGACGCCTTTGTTAAAGCACTTGCTTCGTAAGAGCCACTAGCAGTAGTTGGAGCTTCTTGGGCAGCGGCCGGAAAAAGGTAAGGATGATTGCAACATTTCTTCAGATCCATCATGATGTTCAATAATGACACCTAAAAAATGTGAATGAGCAAGACATTTTCAGACTATTTCTTAATCATCACAATAGAAGAAAAAGTGCGGAATTGTCTTTGATGATGAATTAACAAATTCTTCTTTTTAAATAATTCCACTACCAACAAGTTTTAATATCCCAAAACATTTAAAAAACATCATAAATGAAAGTCAGAGATACAATCTCTGAAACAAAATACATTTGCATCAAATAATATTCTTACTCTTATTATAAACAATAATAATTTCAATTATCTCATATATGCCACAAAAGAAAGGAAGAAACCTTTGTGGTACTGTGCCTTTGACGAATATTAAAGAGTTCTTCATTCTGAATTCTTCTACTAATCTATGATATTTAGTGTTCAGAGTCTTCCAAAAACACTATCATAATCTACTTACACATGGCATTTTCCCAATAAAAGCTCAAAATATAACACCCCGCTAAGATAAGTAATATTCCAATTCTTTTCATTCATGAACACACACACACAACCATCTCGATTTCATTATTGTGGAGTACAAAAATATTATTCTATATTGTGGACTTAAGAAAAGGTATAAACCAGAAGACATACAAATGATGAATGTGTTTACAAAATATACTATTTATTTGTAAAAATTTGAAAGAATTAAGACTTGTATAGAAGTGCCTTTGATGGAGATTTAAGATACCCCATCCTAAAGACTTCTACAAATCAACAGCATAATGCAGTGACTTTTAATTTACCAAGACCTCCAAAAACACCACCATTGCTAGAGATGACATTTCCCCGATAGGAGCTTGGAATGATGCAAAGCATAATTCAACAAATAGCTAAATTAATGAAACAAACTAGTTGATCTTAATGTGCTAAATCATTTGTCCACCTCTATCATAAAGATGACAGTTTGAAAACAGGATTTTGTCTTCACTCATCAGCAATCTTTTAATGACATGATTGCATTTCTAAGATATCATTTCACAAATACAACACCTCTGCAATGAAAAGAAGTACTCCAATTTTTCTCATTCACAAACACAAAAATCATGAAAATTTTATTATTATGGTCTACAGAAAGGTTATTCTATACTATGAACCACAGAAAAATTATGAACTGGAAGACAAAATGACCACATATGTCTTTTACTTATTAAAATTTGCAAAAATTAAAACTTTAGTATAGAAGTGCCTTTGATGGAGATCTATGAAGATACCCACCCTAAAGACTCCTACAAATCAACAGCAAAATGCAGTGACTTTTAATTTACCAAGACCTCCAAAAACACCACCATTGCTAGAGATGACATTTCCCCGAAAGGAGCTTGGAATGATGTAATTCATAGTCCAAAAAATAGTAGATTTCAACCACAGCTAAATTAACTCAACAAACTGTCTGACCTTAATCTACTAAATTGTTTGTCCATCTATCATAAAGATGACTGTTTGAAAAACATATTTTTGTCTTTACCCACCTACCCTTTAGTGCCATGATGGCATTTTTGTGATAACAATACCTCTGCTATGTTAAGTAGTATTCCTGTTATTCTCATTCATAAACACACACATAATAATCTATATTTAAGTATTATGGAGTATAGAAATATGAACTGGAACACAAAGTGATAAATACTTTGGAAAAATGTAGTTATAAAAATTTGAAAGAATAAAAACTTGTATAGAAGTGCTTTTGATGGAGATCTATTAAAATACCCCATCCTAAAGACTTCTACAAATCAACAGCATAATGCAGTGACTTTTAATTTACCAAGACCTCCAAAAACACCACCATTGCTAGAGATGACATTTCCCCGATAGGAGCTTGGAATGATGCAATACATAATTCAACAAATAGCAGAATTCACCCAAAGACAACCCAATAACTAAATGGCTGGCCTTAATGTACTAAAACAGTTGTCCGTTACTGCCATAAAGGTGACCATGTTTGAAAAACAAGTTTCTGTCTTTACCCATCTATCCTGTAAAGTCCCCAAGACATCTTTTTGAAGTTGTTATAAAATCCAAAGCACACTGAGAATGTAAAGAAATATGAGTAATATTAATTAAGTCTAAATACCAGACAGAATAATATATTAAAGTAAAATTACAAAAAAATAAATATTGAAAATTGTGTAAAGTTAGAACAAAGTATTATGAAATTGGAATCACTAGACATTGGATGTTAAGGTTTTAAAAACTGTTATAGGCACCAAGAAATGCTCTAAATTTTTTAAATAAGCACTGATAAAGGCATTAAAAACTTCAAATTCAAAACCTCTGCTTCAACACTATACACCAAATGGTAACCGTTTTCCAATATTTTGGAATCGTCACTCTCATACTTAAAGTTTGGGGGAGGAGGAAGTGGGGTGAAGGAGGAGGTGACAAGTACACATTTTTAGAATGATTAAACATTGTCACTAGCCACTCAAAACATTTTTAGATAATGCCGTACTTGTCATAGAAACAAAAAATGTTTAAGTAACTCTGCAATTATAAACTGAAAGATCTAACCTTTTGTTAAAATTTTCTCTTCGACACATACATAACTTTCTATGAAAAAGACGCGGCGGCGATGGTGTAATGGTTAGCGTACTGGACTGTTGTACCCAAGTTGGCGGGTTCAAACCCGATCGAAGCCGTGGATTTTTAAGGGCGAAAAAATCCTTTGTACGCCTTCCTTTGGAGGGGAAGTAAAGCCGGCTGTCCCATGTTCGTAGATTTACTTGCATGTAAAAGATCCTCAAGCCTAAATGACGCCTCTGAGCTAAATTCAAAATCGCCTGTTTCTCGCCCAAGAAATACCTCCTTTCTCTCTTAGTCGGTGGAAGGAGAGTAGCGAAATTTGCGTGGTCGGACGGAAGAGCGGGCCTGATGGCCCGAGTCTCGCCACGTAAAATAAGGCAAATTCAATTCAATTCAATGCTGTCAAAATTGGAGCATTATTGTGATTTAAGTATCAATATCACTTTTTAAATTTATTTTTTTAAATAAAATTAAAAAAATGAGAAAATATTTTTCAATTTTAGTCTAGGTAAACATTTAACGCGCATTCATTATTAGTAAAGTCTTTGTGCAATTGCACTCATGCCAATGGAGCCCATGGAGGAGGTAAAGGTAGGGCTGTGTTGCAAGACCACCACTTCAGTTACCCTTTTACCAATGGAACATCATGGTACTCACTTGAAAAGGAGGCTAGGACAATCACAGAGCTACCCTGAAGGGAAATCATTAAATAAAATACCCAACTTTTACAGGATTCAAACCTAGGTCTTCAGCTCAGTAAGCCAGTGCCAAACCACTGAGTCACTGTGGCTCGCATATTATGATTATCCAGCTATGATTCCACTTTGAACACTTCATAATTCTCCTTGAACATAATCATTCTGTCAATGCTATTTAACCCTATTTGCCAGAGGCTTGGTGCCATTAGTATCTAGGTTTCCTAGATGGCCACCCATCCAGGAAGCCTCAGTGTCTCAAGCTCCTTATCATCTGACCTCAAGGCATGTGTCTAGGATATTTGGCTACAGTCGCTGGACACAGATTAATCTCCACCAGTATACATGGTAAATGCCAGAAAGATTCCTTTCCATAAATATAAATAATAGTACTTATATATAGTAGTAAAATTCTATTCCTAAAAATTTATAACAACGATTTCTATCATTGTTTAACTTAATGTACAGGGCCAGTTCTTCTGGGAGAGTCCCAGATTGTTAATCTTTGTCCCAGTGTCCCAATAAATCATTTTGAGATGTCACATTTTGAGATTCTAAAATGTCACAAATGTTACAAATACAAAAAAATGTTTGATATTTTTAATATCATGTATGGTTATTTTGACTTGAACACTTCATAAATGACTTTGGATTTCCCAATGAACTATGGATCCTGACGAATCGTTAGCAAGCTTTTGTTTGCATCAATGCTTTTTGTTTGCATGGTTAATAGCGAGTGTTAAGTTGTTGGTATTCCTAAGAATTGTGAGCAGTTTAATAAAAACGATGACAACAAAATGCCTCGGAGAAAGCATGTTTAAGGAGAACATTTAATGGTGCAGTCACCATTTATAAAAGAAAGTACCGACTGTTCCAAAGACAAAATACAATGATATCTGACAGGGATATTTACCTTTTAAAATTTCTTAGAAAGTCAAAATAATTAGTCAGTTTCATAATTGCCAGCTAATTTCTATCACAAAGCAGCTCTTAAATGCACAGGAAGGAGCAAATTATTTCCGAGTTAATTAAGTAATGAGAGTAAGTACTGTTATTCTGAAGTATTACGAATAACAGTATTTTTTCATAAAACGCCTTCATAGTTTTATTTTTTTCTTCTTCTTCCAAGTTGCTAAGATATAAACCAAAATTTTTCTAGCACACCTCGCACATTTGTTCAACCCCAACATATTTGTTCAACATTCCAAGGGTATGGTGTCTTTCTAACGATTAGTATTTCTTGAAGACCATCATGACATTTTTGAAAACTACATTGACCTTGATACCAGACATTCAATTACTTTCATCTATGTATACATAATACAGTAGAAACATAAAATTACAAATTGGTAAAATATAAAGATAAGTTTATGTATTTAGTTATAAAAAAACATTAAATTTTCACACAATTACTGATTACACTTAAAAAAAAGGATGAAGGAGAAATTCATGCTCAGCAATAAATATGTTTTTAAAATAACTACATGAATGTTTCTTCTTAAATGTGAAATTCAGTAAATGAAAAAAGTAAAACAAAAACACTTAAGTAGAATACACTGAAACAAATAAACCAGACCATGCCAAACACATTGTTCTATGAGGAACAGTGGGTATTACTATTACCTCCTCGATTAATTCAATTTAACTGCAACAGTAGTTCAGTTTTTATTGAAATCAGATATAAATTTGAAAATTAGAAATCCTAACAACGGATCAAGCAGCTTGCAAAACTATGGTCATTGTACCATCTCCACAATTTCAAGCCGTAGATTTACATTCGGGCAAAATCACAACTTTTTTATTACTTTTAGACCAATTGCAGGTGAACAGAACTGGTCAGGCTCCACTGAAACACATCCTTAAAGACACTGCAAATCCTTGAACAAACCTCCAATAGTTTGCTCATGTAAAGTAATTCATGTTGCTATGACTGCTTAACATCTATACATTGAAAGAAATATTTTTTCAAGCTCACAAAGGTTTTTGCAGAATATGATGCACTATTTTGTATTTAGCTCTTTTCTTTTCTTACAATGAATTGCTTTTGCAGTTGAAAAAGCATAATTTAATTGGTAAACGTTTAATACACAAGTTGAGTGTTGTTTAATACACAAGTTTTGAATAGAAAACTTATGTTTGGATAGCCTTTCAAGTCTATACAGAATTCTGTAGAGATGCACGATTTGGGATTTAGAAATAAATTACTAGGCATTCCAAAACAGAAGAAAATTGCTTTTTTAGACTGCTAGATCATGTTTTGAACAGAAAAAATCTATTATAAAAATGTAAATATCGTTTTTTGTTGTTTTTTTTCCCTCCACAATTTTCTAATACATTATCTAGTTATTTTGTCACAACTGAAAGAAGTTTGTACGAGGAATGGTAGGTGAGAGAAATGCAATCTAATTCATGGATATTTACCTGTTGGCCACCACCTTTTGGATTTAGGGCTTCAAAGTTCCTAGTGAGAATGAATTTATAGTATTTCTTTTGCATTGGTGAAAGTTCAACACGAACAATGAATTCAGATTTTGATGGCATGTTCTGAAAAAGACAGTCACTCAAATTTATTTCCAATGAAATGATTACACAAAAGAATAATCAAAATAATATGTAAAAATTAACCGAAACAATAAAAAAATCTATAATGCAAAAAAACACAAAACAAAAAGTTACCTTTAAGACATCAGCCTTTAATCGTCGCAACATATGAGGACCTAACATTTCATGTAACTTTTTCACCTGCTCTTCTTTCGAGATGTCAGCAAATTCATTTTGGAAAGCAGATAAATCATTAAATTTCTCTTTACAAAGGAAATTAAGGAGATGAAACAATTCCTCTAGGTTATTTTGAAGAGGTGTTCCAGTCAATAGTAGTTTGTACTGAATATTGTATGATGCCAAAATCCGGAAGAACTACAGAAAATAATATAACATAAATACAAGTAAGATGTAGTTGCTATTCAAATTTAATGTTTTAATATTTCATACCTTGGACTGATTGCTCTTCAGTCTGTGGGCTTCATCTACAACTAGAACAGCCCAATCAATAGACCCTAAACATGCTGCATCAATACAAATTAACTCGTAACTTGTGAGCAAAACATTGAATTTAATAGATGAAGAGCGAATTTTTGATGCTCTGCCCCCTCTGACTGCTCCTTCTTCAAATGATAATTCATTTTCCCTGATCACTGCACGAGAATCTTTGTCTCCTACATATGTCACTACATAAAAATCAGGGGCCCAAGTTTCAAATTCTCGTTCCCAGTTAATAATCGTTGAAAGAGGTACACTTAACTGAAATAAATTAAAATGCATTAGATATAAAATTAATTCAGCAGATGCCAAAATATTGAATTATAAATTTTCTCACCAAGAAAGGTCCTTTACAATGTCCTTCCTTATATAAAGAATACAAAAATGTGATGGTCTGAATAGTCTTTCCCAGACCCATTTCATCTGAAAATTTTAAGACACAATGTTAGGGAGTAAAAAGGCTTACCAATAAATTAATTTTTATTTAACTTCTGCAACTGACCTGCAAGAATGGTGTCTATTCCCTGCCCCCACGAATATCGCAACCAATTTAATCCTTCTAACTGGTATGGGTGAAGCTGCATACCAGTCTGGTCAATGTAATCAGGCTGCCTATCTAATTTCTTTTTTAAGTCTGTGAGAGGTTTCTCAGGAGGAGGAGTATAGCGCCGACTGTAACAAAACGTGGAGCTTTAATAAAAACAACAGAAATATCATCAGAATAAAGAACTTAAATTTCACTCGACAAAAACCTACGGGATTTTGTCGTTTCCTTCTTCTTCTTGCAGCTCTTTTGTTTTTGTCTTTTTCCCTTTTCCTTTCTTTCCTTTTTTACTTGTCATTCCTTCTGCATTGCAAGACGCCCGTAAATCCTGAATAAAAAAGTAGTGTCGAAATAAATAATTAACAACACAAAATTCCAACCTTCCAGTGGAAAAGGTGTCCCAGTACAGGGAATGTCCTTTGCAATAAACTTACCATATAATATTCAATGGACTGTTTCAACCCCAAAATTTCAGTATTTTCATCTTCCCAGGTTGCTTGATCATAAGACAAATCTCTCCACTTCACAAGGTACAATGTTCTACCATCTCTCATCACTCTGTGATTAATAACTCTATGGACTATCATCCATTCTGGTTTAATTCCATACCTAAATTGTAACATTGTAAAAAACTTAGAAATGTTCACCCATCATGCTAAGACCCTCATAAAAACTAATGACTAATTAAAACAAATTTATATTGTACATTTTCCTAATATGGCTAATCAATTTGAATTTGAGATAGTGGTCCTTTGTTTTAACAGGGTCATCAAGGATAATTATTATATTAAGGAATATATTACAATCAGTTTTAATGTCCCATGATTACCTGTAAAATTTCTCCTCAAGTGCCATGTCATCAGCATTGGCTTCTTTAATTCTCTTCATGCGATGATCTAAGTCATCTAGAGGTTCCTCTAATTTTGGAGGCTCGTCCATGTCATACTTACGCATGTAATTTCGAATCATAAGAGGGTGGAATACATCCATCTGCAAGCCCACACATTATAAATATCTGGGGCGATATTTATTATTGTAAATATACAAGGAATCATATTTCATCGGTAATAACAAGTTGTGCAATTAAATGCTCTAATAAATTGTGAGGAACAAGATACATTACATTACAGCCTTTAATATGTAGACATTCCTAAACTCCTTTTGGAGTTTCACTGTAGTGGCCTTCGTAATGCTCTTACCTGAAGTTCTGACACCCATGAGCAATGCCAGTATGATTTTTCATGCCATTTAACAAAAAATTCTCGCTGAGGCTTAGGAGATTTTGGAGGCTTTTTGCTGGTTGACGGTTCTTCTGATGGCTTCTCTGGCTCCTGATCTTTCTTCTCAGCCCATCGCCAAGTCAAAATTTTAGCTACCTTACCAGGTAAGGCCTTTGCCTGTGATCAGTGAAAGATGGCAGGGTAACAAGGTGTTTCTTTCTTTCTTTTAATGCTGTTTATCACAAACTTCTACTCACTGAACATCTGGGACATTTCCAGTCTCCATCAGGTATGTCTGTGAGGGGTGGATTCAGACAGAAAGTGTGGTATGCTGAAGGGCAGGAATCGCAACAGAGCAGTTCTCCTCCATCCTTACAAACTCTGTCGACAGAAGTTGGAAGTAATTAAATTAAAACAGGTCGACTACAAAAACAGATCAAAAATCAGAAATTTTGCAAAGGTAGGAAGTGATCTTCACCTGCAAAATTCCATGTGTTCATCGTCATCTTGTTCAGGTATGCCTTCGCCTTCACAGTGCGGACAAGACCACTTGCCTTCAGGAGTCTCTTCCAGTTCAGGCTCCAAACACACCAAATGGTATGCTCGAGGGCATGTGTCACACAAGATAATCTCTCCCCCTTGTTGACATACTTCGCAATAATCCTGGTGGTCGGTCTGGAATATTTTCATTAATCAGTGAAAACACTCACGTGCATATCTACTCTTATAAAAGCAACATTACAAAGATCTCCAAATATGTGTGTAGCATTCACAACTAAATACGTAAACTGTGTAAATACATTATGAAAATCAATATACTGATATAAAATTTTTTCTCCTATAAAATTACAGTTTTTTAAAAAACATCCACCAAAAACATCCCATTACCCATGCATGCGAAAGCACAAGACTGAACAAGTTACATATCAGTCTCCATGCTCTAACAACTGATAAAATAAACATGCTTGAATGAAGAAAGATTGCATTGATGAGGTTAATAAATACATAAATGAAATGAAAATAAGCAAATAAATAAATAATTATAAAAATTCTATAGCAACCATGAGCATAGCTCACCCAAAGCAACTTTTGTACTGAAATCAATACACACACATAAATAAAAGAAAAAGCAAGCTGTGTGTCAGTGGCAACATAATACAGTAATACCAAGTGCAAGAAATGCACAAATCCAAACCAACTGGACAGAGAGATTCAAATTGAAGCACACATATTTGAAAATTTAGATCTTACATTTCTCACCTCGTAACCATCTTCGCCTTCACCACCAGGGAACTTCGCTGTAGTTTTAGTTTTCTTTTTCTTCTTGCTTTTATTACCAATTTTGGTCTTTGCTTTACGGCGAGGAGCAGGAGTCTGACTTGTTGAAGCTGCTTCTCCACTACCACTCTCTTGTTCCTCTTCACCAGGTTCATCTGGAGTCTTCGAGGCTTCTTCGGCCTCCTGAAGCATTTGCTCAAATTCTGCATCAGAGTCACGATCTGTTCCTCCACTAGCTTCTCCCTCTTCCTCCTGCAACAAGAGTATTAAAACCGCCAAACATAAAGCATCTACGTATTGATAGAAATTAGCAAATGAAGATTACATCGCAATTAACATTAAAAAGCTATTAAATGTAATTGAAGGACTCGAGTGTTACATGAGAGGTATATATGTATATATTTATTTACTATTAAAGTCAATTCGCAGCAGTATTGTTTTCATGATTTTCATTACAACTTGCCACAAAGGCAAAATGAGGTTTAAATATTAACAAACAGTATAATAATGTAGTTTCATGCAAGACAAAGAAAGAAAATTAAATAGCATTTCTACAAATTATTACATACTGATTCAATTCAGGGCAATTTAATTTAATATTTCAAAATCAAATAACAGCAATTGAACATCAGAAAGTTGAAATGTCTTAAACCAAATACAAGGACTACAAGAACAACACTTAAAACCAAATATGTCATCCCCAGAAATCCCAAATTAAAACTTCCTCTACTTACTGAACTTCCACGCTTTCGTTTGCCCAGCTTTATCTTCAAAGCTGGAACTTTTGGATTCTTCTTACTTGCCTTCTTACTCCTACTTCCTCTCTTTTTCTTGCTCTTTTCTTCTCTATCTTCATCATCTTCTTCTTCAGCAGCTCCTTCACCCTCAGCCTAATAAATTAAATTACTATTGTGTATTACAAAAATAAAAGGCACGAGAAAGTAAAAATGGAAATAAATTAAATAGTTTTACTCGGGATACTAGATTGTACTGAAATTATGGTCACAAATAACCTGAATTAAATAGATTAGGAAACTTCCTTACTTTTGATGCCTCTTTACTGGGTCTTGAGCGACTTCCCTTCCTACTGAAACTCTCTTCAGACACACTCTCGGTTTCTTGTTCAGCATTTGGGTTAATGTTCGTAAAGTCTCTCCACTTTGCCGCAACCAACATCATTAATTTCGACATTGGTACCTGACACAAGGAATACAAAGAAATTATGTTTTGAAACAGATTGAGTCAATTTTATTTTGTGATAGAAAAAACCATACCTTTGGATTCTCCTTAGCCAATAATGGCCGGACATGCTGTTGAAACAACTTGTAGGTAGTTAAATTTTGGAAATCGGCTTCAGTATACTCAACATCAACATCCTGAAGACCAAAAGTATCACAAACTTCTGTCACTGTAGGCATTCCTGAAATTACAAAGGAAAAAGTTATTATTCTATAGGATTTTTAACAATAAATTCAATCCAGGATCAATCAATTTATGTTTCTGAATCAGGAACCTAAGGCCTACTATCAAGCAGTATCATGATGAATAACAACTCAATACCTGAGTTTGAATCTTGAACTGGAGGAGGAGGAGGAGGAGGTGGTGTTGAATTAGTGTGTTTTTGGCCTCGAGATTTCCTTGACTTCTTACTGCCTGCGTAATCTGAGTCATTTCCTCCAGCCTCTTCATCAAAACCAAAATCACTTTCCTAAAAATTTGAAAGAATGATCATTACAAATCACATTACATACAAATAGTTTTTGAAGAAATTAAATTTGAAATATCCTTTAAGTTGTTAAGAATCATTATGTGTAAAAAAGTAAAGATAATAAAATAGGAATGTAAAGCTTACCTCTCCACTTTCTGCTTTTTTCTTCTTCTTTTTCTTTTTTCCTTTTTTGTCTTCACTTTTTGCTTTTCTTTTCTTACCCTTTTTTCTTTTATTTCGCCCATCTTCTGGTTCATAATCATCATCGTCTTCCTGAAAACAAAAATTACGGTATTAATGAATTTTAGATGCATTGTATCATTTAATGAAGAGCATCCTAAATATTAAACTTACTCCTCCCGGGGGTCCTTCTTCAGATTCTGGAGAATTTTCTTCAGTCGTGCCCTCTGGTCGAGAGACATTCGCTGACCCTTCTTCTGCTACCTCTTCTTCACCGCCTACAATTTAATGACATTACTTGAATGAGCAGGCTTCTACTATTATTAGGATAAAACATGATTTATGAATGACATGTTATAATCTAGAAGCATTATTTACATTATTAGATCTTGGTTCACATACTGCTGCAGTTCTCAGAAAATAACCTTAGCTGATCACCTGAATTCAAGGTTATCACAACTCTGCACAATATTTACATAACCAAAACCAGAACATAACCTACGAAACTCATCATTGTGGAAGTGGCCACGGCCGAGAAAGATCGTGTCAAACTCTTTGTTTGATAGCCTCCATTTTGTTAAGAGGTCAGGATAAGCCCGCGCGGCTGTCAGAAAAATAATGATGTCCCCCTCCCCTCCCCTTCTCATTGCACTTTTATATTATTTCTTTCTTACTTTAATTTATACAAGAAAAGCTTTATTGGTATGTTTTCTACCATGCCACAATCATAAACTGAAACATTACATTCAAAACAGAGACCAACATGCAGAGAAACTCATTTACAAGCAACCACATGATTTCGTAGTCCCGCTTCACCGACCTATGTCGACGGTGCGATCTCCCAAAACACAAAAGCATGGATCAACTTACCGGCAAAGGCGTCCTCTTCGACTTCATCTGACGCCATTTAAGCCTTGATGAGTTATGTTTGTCAACCTTTAATAAATAAGAGCCACCAAAAAGACAATAATCACTTTTAGTAGTGATAAAATAGCATTATCCAAGAACTACCGAGTCGCCGCCGCTTCAGCACCTTGGAGAAACGAAGTATCGACTGGCAGGCGCATGCGCACGCGGAATTACATGTACCGATGGACGAGTGCGCGGGAGTTGTGGCAATTCAAATTGCAAAAACTCTTTATTTTGTGTAATTAAATGAAACACCCAAAAACATTTACAAAATCAAGAAATATTTTTTCATGTAGATATAAAAAGCATTCAAATGCATTAATTACAACTGTAAAGAATGGATAACCTACGAATTATTCAAATTAAACTTGCACCTACGCACTCCAATTTATCCCCCACCCTCCTCGGAACGCTTTTTTCCTGGGCTAGGTCAAATATTGATTGATTTCGGGAGAAAATGGTTGTTCGACTCATGCTTTCATTTACGCAATATGCAACCTTGTGTAGAGATAATAGTAACATGTTCAACATTTATTGATAAATAAATGATTTAGTGCATGAAATTAATTAATGTTACATTAAATACAGAGTATATATTTTTGGAAGATTGCAAAAATGTGAAATAACATAATTTTCTATGCTTTATTTAATTAACTTAGTAATCACCTATTTAAAATCTTAAATGTTGATGAACGAAAGACGTCCAACTTACCCCAATGTAGTACCGCATCAGACTTTGTTAACTCATCGCATATCAAAGACAAATAATCAGTGTGTAATTTAATCTTTTCTATCTAGGTTTTTATTTAATGTTGACATATCGGTACGAGAAATAGAACTCACTTTATCACTGCTCTTAAATGTGTGTTACGAGCGGTAATAGTTGTATCTCCTCGTGAAAGGAGTGTTTGCAAGGATGAAGTTACTATATTATATTGTTGAAAAGGTTGTTATTTACCAAGCACTCGGAATAGACCGATTAAGAGATTCAGGTTTAATGACTGAAAGCTAACATGTATCATCTAAGATACCAAGTTATTTCCATGAATCCCCTTTAAAGTGGACATTTGTTTCATTTATCGCAATTTTTTAATAATAAAAGTTATTGTCATGGCGTTATAATCGTTTCTAATAGTTTTTTCTGTCGGAAATTCGAGACGAAAATGATTTCCATAACAATGAACTTCTTTTTTGGTTGATGATTTCTCTTTTGCAAAGTCAGAAATTTTCTGCAATTACGTAGTTCCGACATAGGTCACCGATGTCAGATATGCGGATGTTCTTCCGCGCGAGAAATTAGTCCCAAAGATCCCCTAAGTAGATTGAGGTGACGCCATGCTCCTCTTTCCCCGGCTGCAAACGCAATCCGGCACGCGGCCAACTCGACCAGTGTCTTAGGACCTTCCCCCCGTGACGGTCTCCACGCAAGAAACTTATTAAGAATGTGTCACCATGTTATCAACTTTCGCGGCGTTCCCGCCATAACTTTTTTCCTCTTGTACGCCGGAGCCCACTGCAAGCAAAATTCGCTCATCTTTCGCGACGTACGGCCTCACAATATTCTTTTAATAAGAGGAAGCTCTCCCTGCCTTTCAGCGACGTATTTAAAATCTCCTTCATTCGCAGCAGAATGCTGTCAGCGGTGGCGGTAAATAGCAATGGCCGTGACAGTGGTTGCGGCGGCGATGGCGGGGGCGGTGACGGTGGCAAGGGCTTTGGCGGTTGCCATGCCGATGCCCCCAGCCCCGGTCGCCGCCACCGCCAACGCCGCCGCGTCGCTGCCACCATGATCAACCTGGTCGGTGGGTTGCGGCGGTGGCGGTGCGGTGCGGTGCGGTGTGAGAGTTCAAGCGGCCGTGATTTAGCGGCAGCTGCGAGCCCCAGCCAGCGGCAACCCGCGCCAGCCAGCACCAGCGCGGCGCGGCGCGGAGCGGCCCGGGTGCTGCTCTTGTCTCGGTTCCGAGCTACCGTACCATTCGTTCGCCGTCTCACTCTTCCGCACGGCGCGCGCCGCCTTCCGGCTCGCTCTGTCTCTCTCGCTCGCGCCGCCCCCCCCGCTTCCCTCGCCCCGCCCCGCGCCCCGCCCGCCAGCTCTTCCCGCGCCGCGTGCGTCCCCCGCCCGCCTACCCGCTGCGCTCCCCGCCCCCGCCCTCGCTCCCCGCCTATGGCCTGTCGTTTTCCCTCTCTCTCTCTTTTTTGCTCGACTCTCTTCGTCACCCTTCTCTGTCCTTCATTCTCCCTCGTCTCGCGGTCTCTTTAGCAGACATGTTTTGTTCCTCTTTCAATACACATTCCCCCTGCATTTTTGCTGCCGTCAACGCCGGGTTTTTCCTCATCCTCTTCGCTCTTTTATTCCCACTCTTCCTCAGCCGCTTACCGCGCCGTGAGCAGTTTTCTCAATTCCTTGACACAGGGCTCGACTTCCCGTCTTCGAATTCAGCACAACTTGCGGTGCTGATTCTTCGGTCTAACCGGTAACATTACGTGTAAGCATCACTGAGCGAAATTGTGAGACAACGAGATGAATGATAGTAGACGAGTCCTTGCAATAAAAAAAGAAAAAGTAAACAAATTTTCGATTACCACGAAGAAGAAAGCAATTTTTTCCCTCACAGTCGCCGTTTTTTCTGTGCTGTGTCAGCACAAAACTTTTGATTGCCACGCTTTCGGCACAAGAATACTAATAAATTCACGCTGAGTAGAAAAGCATATTGATATCTTATCAATTTCCTCTCACATTCATGCTCGAAAAGAGCCACGCGAAAAAAAAAAACTTAAAATCTAGTAGCGGAAATCAACATCACCGCAAATGTAAAGATCTCCCTTTCAATCCACAGACTCTCGCTTGATGTGTCCGCGTATTCAACAACAAGTTTTGTCCATCTACCTGCCCTTCGTTCTCATGCTAAAATATCACATCGTTTCTTTCCGCAACTTTTACTTGTTTTTCTCAATTCAACCGATTCCTTACGAAGTGTGAGGTGTCTAATAGGGTCTCTTCCTTTCGAAATGTATTTTAAGTATCGCGTATTTCACAGATTGCATTATCCGCGTTTAATTGTCTCCTGCCTGTAAGCTAATAAAATTCAGAAATTTTCCCTCCTCACAACGCTTCAGTTCTGCGGGGAGCCACCCTTTACTTCCTCCGAACGTCGAATCGGCTTTCCTTCTCGCGAACGCGGCCGCCTCTTTGCGCCGAGGGATGTGAGGAAGCGTGCGCCGGGGCGGGCGGGCCGGGGTGCGAGCGTTTATCGCACGCGAGCGCGTGCGTACGTTCGCGCATTCTGTGGTGGCCGGCCTGAGGTCCGCGCTCGGGATCCGCTGATGAATTCGCGCCCTGAGCGCCGACTTGGCCATGGCAAATAATTCAATGCTTTTGTCTGACCCGACCGCCCCGCCACACCCCTCGACCCGGGGCGAAGCGGGGGACGAGCGGGGCGGGGCGCGGCGGGCGGGGAGGAGCACATCCCGCGTTTTTGTGCGCGTCTCGTCCTTCGCGGCGATCGGGCGGCGGGGCGCTGGCTGCCTGGAATGCGCGCACTTTGGATGGCCGACGCGGAGACTCCAAGCCGGCGCCGCGGCGACTTCAACGACGAACAGAGCAGGAGGTGCTGTCGCCCTCGGAGGGCTTACGGCAGCGCGATTGTCTTCGCCGAGATCTCGTCGTCCGCCTTGCTGCGTTCTTGAGCTTAGCCTATTAATCGATTTCTTCTTCTTCTTCTTCTTCTTCTTCTTCTTCTTCTTCTTCTTCTTCTTCTTCTTTTTCTTCTTCCCCTTCTCTTCCTTCTCTTCTTCTTTTTCATCTTTTCTTCATCCTCTTTTTCTTATTTTCTCTTCCCCTCCTCCTCCTCAACCACCTCCTTATCCTCCTCTTCCTCCTCCTTCTCCTCCTCCTCCTCCTCCTCCTTCTTCTTCTTCTTCTTCTTCTTCTCCATCTTCTCCTTCGTCGGTTTGCTCTTCCTCTTCTTGACTTTTTCCTCTTCATCTTAGATGTTTCTTCTTTTTCTGTTTCATTGTACGACGTATACGTTGCCCTGTTGTATTCTTTCTCTTACAGAGCTTTCTCTCACTCTTCTCTTTCTTCTCCACCTCTTGTTCTTCCTCTTTCTCGTCGTGCACTTTTTATCATGTTGTCTTCTTTCCCTTCCTGAGCTCTTATTTAGTCTATTATTTGCTATCTCCTCCCCTTCATTTTTCTTTTTACTCTTTTTCTTTTTAGTCGTACACCTTTCATAAGGTTGTTTACCTTCTCTTTTTGAGCACTCATTCCAAGTCTATTATTGACAATCTTATTTTTCCCCTTTTGTTCTTCCTTTTTCTCCTTCGTCGTACCCTTTCCACAAAGTTGTCGTCTTTATCTGTGAGTTCTTTTCCTTAGTTTATTAGTAGTACTCTTTTTCTTCCCAACTTTTTCTATCCCATTCCTTCAACTTCCTCCGTACTTTCGTTCTTCGCTTTATGTGTCTCTTTTCTTTCGCATACTCCTTCTGTAGAGTTCTTCTCTTTCCTCGTACTGACAATGAGCTCTTATTCTTAGAATATTATTGGTTTTCTTCTTTGCATATTGTCTTTTCCTCTTTGTTCTTGGTAGTTCACGTTCTGACTGAGGCGTTTAGGCTTTCCCTAAGCTTTCATTTCTTTTGCCAGGAACACAGATCATCTTAAGACCAATACCCTGCTTACTGCACTACACTAATTTATGTTGCGATTTTTCTTCCCCAAAACTTCGTAAATTAATTAACAGCAATTAACATTTCTTCCTGAGTCAATCTATTGACATACGCAATATAAAACTTGAAATATCTATACAAGTCATTTTGAAGTATTCCCTTTGTATCTTATCCCGTTTGTCATTCAGAGAAAATCTAAACCGATTTTTATCTACGTCATAGTCATAGTTCATTGACTGCAATCAAATCCGACCATATTGACGTGAAGTGATGGAGAGGATGGGTATTTTTATTCTCTCTTTGTATCACAAACTTTTTACGACAATATGTTGTCGCGTAAGTCATTACATAACTATGTTCGATCATATTTTTTACACATTGCAGTGAAATTTTATCTTCTCCTTTTACAGTGTTTTCTGCACAAACTGTTATTGACACATATGCATTATGTACTGGGAATTTTGGGTCTCGATTCTCCGACTTTGTCAACTAGCTAACAGTGTCCTCTATGCGTGGGCCTAGTTTCATTTCCACTCTTGGAGGGTAAGAGAAACCTGTGGCGAACATGACGTATTCCCTTCACC